ATTAAACAACATAATTAATTTAGGTATAGTAATATATTAAGATCTACCATAGATCCTAATAGTGACTATATTGTAAATTACATATTTGTTGTTTAATAAAGAAGCTCATTCTAAGATTAACTCATCGAGGTGTTAAAAAATTAATTCAATGACCCAATAATTAACTGGAGGTTGAAAGAAATATTAACTCCAGGTTTCAGGGCAGTTAATCATATCTAGACTAACGAAACCAATTTCATTTGGATGTGAATAGCTACAACGCAGGATTTCGTTAACAAAATGGTTGCTCGTCATCTTATCATGTTATTTTCTTCATTCATTTCTCTCCGAGGCGCCGCGACATTGGAAGGAATAATCTCTCATGATTTAAAGTACCTATATAAATCTATTATTGTGTTACCTGATTTACTTGTACACATGAGTATTAGATGATTAGAAGTATCCGTTTGTAGAATGATTTTGATTTCTTTAAATTGCGCGAAATACCTCTATCCAGATCTTAATCAATGGCTAAGCAACGCAACGTTAGATATCGGCAACAAGCTTTGCAAGTTGTTGGTTGAAGTAATTTTCTTCACTAAATAGAATTATTTAATTTATTTAAGGGGGTACATAGGGAAGAGTTGCCTATATCGTCCCACATCAGATAGACAAGTGATGGAAAATTAGCATGAAATTTGCCTCGTAAAGGGTCATGAAACGAGTCATGAGTGTGTCGCTCATTTGGAACTCATATCTGTACACAACGACCAAACAAAAATACTTAAATATGAAAGAAAGTTAAGTACATGCAATATCTCAATGTTTGTCCGCATACGTACAGCTAAATTGATCTCACTTATCGCTGACAAACAATTGCAGCCTCTGTAGCTGATATTTGATCCAAGATGTGACAAAATTTTTCTTCAAAACTTATTGTGTAATATGCGTACACATATTGCAGACATTTCATGCAGCAAATGGTCTGAAAATTGTTTGTAAATCGATATTCCTCATCATACGACGATCCTGAATTTCTATCTGGGACTGCTTTCATATTTACTTTTTATCAGTTCTCAACCGTGAAATAAAATCTCGTATGCATTTGCATCGACATCTAGGCATATTTTTATGGGTCGAGTTTCGAAATTGAATATGATGGGATATAAACGAGATATTTCGAACAGTCTACAACAGGCACGACTTAGGAATCGAGTTTCCTGAATCGTACCACTGCGCTGTGTATTAAAATAACAAGTCAGAGATTGAAAGTATAGAACATGTACTAATATATAAGATTTTTATAGTAATTAACCCTTTAAATATCAATGCGGACTATAACCGGCATGCATGTAACGAGCTGTGGATATCAGCGCCATCTTTAGTTAGCGCTCGGTATTTTTCAAATTCTACCGCCTGCAATACACTGATCTATATACTATATACTGGATAGCTGATATCCTGTCCAGCCTATTTGTTCTATACGTAAGAAGAGGGCTTCGACGAAGTCAAGGTACACTAGCGCCACTAGACACGGGGAGCGATACTAAATAAGTAACGGGTGCGCATGCGTTTGTTACTCCACCTTGAACATACATTTAAAGATTCGTGTATTGCCGCAGTGATCTGCTGACCGGCCGCCACGCGACCGGATTCGAATAATTAATTTAACCTAACCCTAATTAATATAAATTAAATCCTTTCGAGCATTAGAGAATACGAGGTATAAAAGAAAACCACGAAGTAGTATAAGGAGATACAGCGCCATCTATCGAAATCGTCCCCACTTCAGGGGTCCAAGACCTCTGGACTTTTTGTCCGATCTAGTGATCATCGATTCGTTCATTGATTAATTTAAAATAATTAAAATGAAATTTTCACACCGCTGGTCACTTTCTCATTGGCCAAGTATAACCATTAATGATCCAGTAAATAATAGTCAGGGCCAAAGTGGGAACGGAACGTTTGGAATATAATATTTTATTGTATTTCTCCAAGAAGATTAACCCCTTCGCTACCGCGGGGTTAAAGCTGGCTCATCTCTAGGTGTTGTTTTGTAGATATGTTACGGTGAAACACCGAAATCTGGAGAATGTCGGCTTTCACCGGTGAATGTCAACATTCACATAGTCGCTTAGTGTATGTCCGAAATATTTGCTAAATACCCTTATTTCTGACTGACCTAAATGTTGACATTCACCGGTGTGTGATTGTCGACACACACTGGAGAGGGTCCGAATGTACAACAATGTAATGAAATATTCGATCTTTCACCGACGTATTTGGTATCTGTTGACATTCACCGGTGAAAGTCGACATTCTCCAATTTCGGTCATTCACGGTAACAGATACCCACTATAGCCGGCGTTGGTCCTTGGTGGTCGTTACGTGGATGCCGGCTATAGTCGGCGTTGAGAGCGAAAGGGAACATCCTGAATATATTCTGGATTCCATAATGTCAGCCCTCGAAGTTTAATATTTTCGTAGAAGCAATATTATAATCGCAATAACAGTGGAGTACTTGAAGGGCTTTACCGAATCTGTAGAAAAGTGTATTCCGTGAAAGATCTTTTTTAGACTCCCACTAAATATAGTGTTCTACTTCAGATAGAAAGGGGATAATTCATACGTAAGCAACTAATGGTGGAGCACGAAACAACGAATAGAAAAAAATACCTAAACTAATGTAATAGGTAAGATAGGCACGAGGACGAAACATGTATTCAGGATATAAAGAACGACACATACAAAGAATACTATAATGTACATGCTGCAGTTAATGATATTATATTGTTAATAAAACAGTACCGGAAAATACCTAGGCGTATAACGGAAACGAGGTAAAAAGCGTGCACGCGGAAACAAACCGTTGAGACGTTAAATTCGCGGCACGAAAGACGTAAGAACAACAATAATAATATTAATAATAGGGTGATTATTATTACCGTTACTATGATAACACAGTGATTACGACGATATACATATATTATATGAAATACAATGATATATTTATCGAATATTTATTGAGCAATAGCGTATTGCGTAGAATGGGTGTACAAAGTAAGTAAAACGATAATACCAGCAAACCAAAAGATACTAAGAGGAAAAGGTCGCTAACGAGGAAGAGGGAAAATAGAGGAGCGATAATTAATTAAGAATTAAATTATGATAAACCATAAAGAGCAAAAACATGAATCTTTTGGATGGGACGGTCCGACTTATATATTTTCGTCTCACAATCCTTTTTTACGATTGTGAACGGAGTTCATGTTATATATCAGGGATTAGACTAAATAGTATATTATTGTAACGAAGGTGGCAAGAATGAGGAATAAGGTGGTGATAGTGGTGGAAACGAAATGGACGTCGGTTGAAACGCGAGAAAGATATAGAGACTAGCAACAAGCGAAACAATGACCTCCTTGTAAATCCTCGTCCTGTGGGGAAAAATAACTACCTCCCCAGTTGTCCCAGTTAATTGGGAGAAGCTCTTTGTCACCTTACCACGCCAATTATACGTTGTGTCCATACTGTCTCAATTAATATTATGTATTATATATCCGACAATATTAATTATTAAAATTCTTAATACATACTATCGGACTACCTTTTATTTTAACCATTTATTTTTAATGTTTTAAGTAATAACTGGCTTTACAAGGTCATCCCGTCGTCCAGGAAGTAACGGACCTGTCTCAAAGCAAAAAGTCAGGTTGTCAGCACGAAGTAATATAAGGAGTCCAAGATATTCAAATTTTTTTCTGATCTAGTGCTGAGAGCGATTACTCAATGAAATTTTGCAACTAAAAATTATCGTCTGCTAGTGTTTATCACGTTAAAAACATCATATTTTCTATATCATGGGCGGAGTATTGTTTCGCTTTCCTTACTTTAATTGCAAAATTACAAGCATTTGACGTAATTCACATCGGTAAAAAATGTTTTGGTCACGTAAGATTGGAGTTCCCTCATTATCCACAAGTAGCGCTCGCATCGTTAGATAAGCCAAAATTTAAAATTCTGGAACTAATGTATATACTAACTGGATGAGTGAACAGAGATGAAATGGGAGATTGCTCACGGGCAGGTTCGCGCGATCGCATCCTGTGCTGCCCTCTGGTTTCGTACGTTACCATTCACCATTTTTTGCTCCCAAGGGCGGCGCAACGAATTTTAGGTAGGGGCACGTGCACTTCCGATGGCGGTGCCATCTACCAGTTGCCGTTGGCGGCTCACGTACTCGTGATGGTAATACCATGTGGCAGTTGACGGTGGTGGCTTACCTACGCTTACCGACACTGCTCGCTTTTGATGGTAAGGGAAGAACACTCTTTGATTTTACCCTTCACTTACCTTATTTATTTTACCCGTAAATGGGGGGCAAAAAACGGTGAAAGCTAACGTACGAAACCAGAGGGCAGCACAGGATGCAATCGCGCGACTCTGCCCGTAAGCAATCACCCACATCTCTGGTCAGAACTTTTCTTGATTACGTGCGTCACTTTTTACAATTCTAATTGGTTTTTCGATGGTTTTTCATTGTTGATTATAGTTGGTTATACCAAGCTACTGTCTGTTAATGGTCATCAATGGTCATCACGGGAACATGGCATGATGCTATGTGCGTGCGCATAAACCTAACTACACATGTGTAACAAAATTTCCGCTGCTTCTAATGCTTCCGATGGAGCTAATATTAAAACTCCAAGCAATTATGAATGTTTAATTATGAGGGTTTCTAGTATATGAGAAATCCGTTTCAGCTTGTCGCTATGAATCATGCTCTCGGTTTCATGTCCACAGGTTTAAATTTCCAAATATAAAGCACAAAAAATTCTATCCCATAAGCACATTATGTAAAAAATTATAATGAAAGTACATCAAGTATTTGCTTTTGGAAGTATATTTACATGTGATCTGAATTCCATGTTAAATGCATTAATAAAATTCTACAGTGTTAACAAAATATTAAAAATTAAAATATGCCTACATGTAAAAACATTGACGCATTTTTATTAACATTTTTTACATTTTTATAGTTACATTATAATCTATTTGCTTTTATTTTATACAAAGGTGTAGCATGTAGATAGTATTGTGAACAGCTCATTTGCATCGAAACCCGCAATGATAAATGTGACTTTCTTATTATCTCGCATAATATATAAATATTAGACAATCCTTATATCACTTTATTTCAACATTTTTTTTTTTTATCTGACATCATCGGCTGATAACTTTTTCAATTTTCATTTACAGAATGTTTATCAATACGCATACTATATTTACTGCAATGGATGTGATGTTAAAAAAAAAAGAAGAAACAAACTTGTGTAGCATTTTTAATAAATAATATTCAGTACTAAACGAAGTACTGTATAATTTTTTAAACTTAGATTTGTAAAAAGTGTTGAATATATTGGTATTGAAAGCACATTCTTCACTTACAATATAGGAAAATAATGCTACAGATTTTTTCCATTGCATTAAATTTTGCATCCGTGCACTTCTGTATGTCGCAGGAAAGACACATTGACTATTATCGGTATGCAAGTCACAGTCTCGATTTTGTCACATTATATCACTTTAGTGTGTTAAACACTTGTAAGCAAATCGTTTCCTGAATGTACTATTAATGTCATGAAATTTTTAATTGCAAACATTCTTCCACACACTAGGCAGTGGGTAAAAACTAAAATCAGTTTTAAAATGATTTTCCAATTCAAAACAGTAGATGAAATTTAGATGCAAAATATGCACATGATGACACAAGTCAACTGAATTTAATTACGGCACATTGCGAGACCATCCCTTAATCTCGATGATTGACTAACCAATTTTTCTATGTGGTTAAATCATTGTCACAATGTATAAAGTTGCACATCTTGGAGGTAACCACTTGTCTCCGGTGCATAAGAGGTAACCGAGCTGAAGTTACACAGTTGCCAGGATCGAATAAAGATGGTATTTATTCGATACTGTAATTATTTAAATCCTATTGGCATAAACACGTAGATGAATTTCATCTAAGCCAGAGTTTCAATCGAAGTGCATCAACACCATTTAAATAGTAACGAAACAGTCTTTTATCGCGCACAAATCCAAGATTTTCATATAGTTGTAATGCTGGTCGATTAGTAATTTCTGTTTCCAGAACAACTTCATCCGCATTGTCTTCTACCATTGCCCGTATAGCTCGTCTAACAAGGTTAGAGCCAATCTTGCGTTTTCGATATTTTACATCTACTGCTAACATAGCGATATATCCGCGCCTTATCACCTTCCGATGGACATCCAACTTGCAGACAATAGCACCCACACATTGTTCTTCATGCATTGCCTTTGAGAACAAATGTTTATGAATAACATTATTATTAAAAATCAGTCCCACTTTGATAAAGCAAAATTTTTATGTTAGAAATATGAAGTTTATACTGATAAACATAATCTAAAGTCAGATACCAAAAATTCAGTTTTATATTCTCAGTAACTTACCAAGAAACACAGTTTCGGCCAGTTGTGAATAAAATATCTATAAGTGTAAATAGAATATGGTTCACTTAGGTCCTTCTGAATTAATCTCATAATATCTGGCATTTGCAATTCACTCGAGTAGCTAACATATTTGATGTCACTGTCTTTAGTCACTGTAGAATTTGCCTCGGTTTTCTCTAAAATAAGGACGCACTTTAAGTAACGGGTATTCTTGAACGTTCAATTCTATAAACGCACTTCAGTACAAGTTCTATTATAATGTCACGTGATAATTTAAAAACGGATCAAAGTCACTTCAAGGTTTGGTATTTCTGGGTAGTAAACCGTCGAATAAAAATCAGGAGCTGCAAATCATAAAGATCAGGTACAACTTACCGAGTGTACTTGAATGACTAGTTTCCACGTTCTTAGGTTCCTGAGCCGATTCGTCACTCCTTTTAGGCGAGTCACAAACACCATTGACCTGGTGTAACCCGTTAGATTGTGATTCACTACAAGACTCCGCAGTCTGCAGGCCGGATCGAGACTTAATGTCTTCAGTGTCGAGGTCAGAGACGACATTATCCTTTTTACCTTTGACTTTACCCTTCGTTGCCTCCAGCTCGGTTACTTCCTCCACGCTTTCTGCTTTAACATTTTCCATCCTCTCGTTTCCTCACTCCTTTATAGTGCTAAAACACAACGGAATAGACAGTGAGGCACAAGGGCTCTTTTTCACCGTCTCCTTGACACTGACTCTGACGGGATGACCGAATCGACGTGTCGGGGTGGCATAAAGTTCCTAAATGTAGCACGAACGTTTCAATCGAATTTTCATAATTACTGGTAGTTCTTAGCCTCCCTCGGGTTAATTTTATCTCAAAATACGGACATCCGACGTAAACTGCTGAACGGTGGACACCATATTGGATTTCTGCATTGACTGCTCGAATTTGGCTCCTCGTTTACACGTTGTTCGTACTTCAGTTTAGTTACTGCCGATACAAGGGAAAGAGCCAATGGGAAAACGATTCTTCTAGACCGGCAATTCTGATTGGACAATCTTTTAATCAGAGTAGATTAAACTAGATGAGAAATTCTGAACAGAGAGCAGATATTTCAGTGTAGCGAACACACTTACTCCATATTCTTCATCTATCGAGGATTCCTGTCACCTAGCTGTAATTAATTGAACATGTAAAAGATTTCGCATGGATTTAGGCCCGATTCAAATTGGGAGCGACAGCAACGAGCAGGAAGCGTCAACCAATGAGCTACGCGTATTTTCCTACTTTCCGTTAGATCAGAAAAATTCAACGGTATCATTGGTTGTCGCATTCTGCACAACGTTTGTCGCCCAGTCTGAATCAGGTCGAAGTGGATCTTTCTCCCTCCCACGCTCCCCGTATGGACTCCTTCCAGGTTTTTCCACCGAAGGCAAGGTTATGTCTCGGTAAACCTGCAGGTCGACTGTCTATGAGCGCTTTTGAAGAGTGAGGTGAGCGGAAGTTTTGCAGCGACGCGCGGAACTATGGTCGAGCGGGAGAGATGAGCTTTGTGGTCTGAGAAATGTGAATTTTGGAGGACAATGGTCCTTACTCAGCGGAAAATGAAGCAAATCCTTTTCCTTGTGCTCTGCATAACCTTGGGTGAGGACCCTGTAAATTGTAGTCTTCTCAGGTGTAGAAAAATTAAGGTCACATTTAAATCTGTTATTTATATCCAAACAAAGTTTTTAAAAAGAAAAAGTTAGTTATATAATCTTTCCTTTTATAACCGACTAATGGAATGTCATCGATATAAGTAAATCAAGTGAAAACCAAAACCTGTTACGTACCCATATATTAAATGCAAATTAAATGTATAATGATTCTCCAGTTTTAATTCAGTTTCTAATGCGTCATATTTTATTAGTTTTATGCTTCTACAAGAGTTGGGTAAACATGGAAGGAGAACGAACCTTCCGTCATGATAGACTCCGAGTTGCAAAGCTTGAGGAAAAGCTCGAGAGGGAGAATGAAATTCCTGGCGAGGAGGTCAATGATTTGCAGGAAGCAAAAAATCGCATCCGCGAGTTAGAAAGTAAATTGGAAAGCCTCGAGGCCAAAATAGAGAATCGAGCACAGAAGAATTTTCCGCTTGTGAAGTCATTGAATTATAAGGATCGAAAACGTATTCTTGTAACAGGTGGGGCAGGGTTTGTAGGGTCCCATCTCGTGGACAGGTTAATGATTGCTGGTCATGAAGTTATAGTGACCGACAATTTCTTCACTGGAAGAAAGAGAAACGTAGAACACTGGGTTGGCCATGAAAATTTTGAATTGGTGCATCACGACATTGTTAGACCATTGTACCTCGAGGTCGATGAAATTTACCACCTTGCCAGTCCTGCTAGTCCACCTCATTACATGCAGAATCCTGTGAAGACTATTAAAACCAATACATTAGGCACTATAAACATGCTTGGTAAGCCTCCATGGAACTATACATTTTTTATTTTTCTTAATGAATTAGAAAAAAATTAATTAAATTGTTTATGTGATTAGGTCTTGCTAAGAGGGTCGGTGCTCGCGTTTTAATAGCAAGTACTTCAGAAGTTTATGGAGATCCTGATGAGCATCCACAAACTGAAACGTACTGGGGGCACGTAAATCCTATTGGTATGTACTCTAAGCTGCAATCCATTTTATAAATCATAGAGTTTTCTTTTCAAACAATATTTTGTTAGGACCCAGAGCATGTTACGACGAGGGCAAGCGAGTAGCGGAAACCTTGAGTTATGCTTATATGAGGCAGGAAGGAGTCTCCGTGCGTGTAGCTCGCATCTTCAATACCTTCGGCCCAAGAATGCACATGGATGATGGTCGTGTAGTATCAAACTTCATTCTCCAAGCTCTGCAGAATGACTCGATCACGATATATGGAAATGGAAAGCAAACTAGATCTTTCCAGTATGTGTCGGACTTGGTAGATGGCCTCGTTGCTCTAATGGCTTCCAATTACACTCAACCTATCAACATTGGCAATCCTGTCGAGCATACAATAAAAGGTGAATTTTTTGAAAGCATTACCTTCGTACGAGGTGGTAATAAATTATATAACCTCACTTTTATAATCTTCTTCATTTAACCACTCCATTCCAGAGTTCGCGCTGATAATAAAAGACTTGGTCGGTGGAAGTAGCAAGGTTGTCGAACTCAATGCAGTAGAGGATGATCCTCAACGGAGGAGACCGGACATCAGTCGGGCAAAGAAATACTTAAACTGGGAGCCGAAGGTTCCTTTAGCGGAGGGTCTCAAAACGACCATAAGTTATTTTGCTAAAGAATTACAGCGGTCCAGACATCCTCAGAAGGACAATATCGGCATAGGACTGAAGCCTTCTTTTAAGAACGATCATGACATCGTCGAACAGTTATAATAGGTGGCTCGGTCCAGGCTTGACTTTTGTATTCGACAGGATTACGTGGAGAGGATCACTTCTCCAAGGACCACTGCGTGCCAAATGAGCCGTCCAGTTCGTAATCTTTGCGAGCCTGACACGGTTCTACAAACATGAGTACCTAGGGGTATGTCAGCAGCCTATATACGTTGCGAACAGGTACATTGAAATACTTTTACTAACGTGTCTAGTAGTCTAAAGCATCGGACGAAAAGAGCGTTTCTTATCTGGGAAAGAGATGGAGTTAATTTCAGACTCGTTGCGTTTTCTGCGAATGCTGTTTGGCCGTTGTCACGAAGACGGTAGATTTTATTATAAGTGACCGCAGCCTTCGTTGAAAAAAAAATGCGAATCTTCTTAGCTCTCTTTTTCCTCGACTCACGGGACGCTATTTTCGGGAGCTTTGCCTTGAACGTCCTTTATTCGACAATTAAAAATTACAATGAATCAAATGAATGGCCCACTTTGTATATACATGTGAATGGAACACGCTTTTGAACTGTTTTTAACCTGTTAGATGTCGTTTAAGAGGAAAATAAATCTCAAAAGAAGCCACTTTACAGTACGGTCGTTTCTTCGGTTTGGATGTTTTGTTATTTAAGTAGATCTTAGAAACGATTAAGGGCAAGGTAAACAGCAGTTGTACGTTCGGATGTTTGAAACCGGCAAATGTAGTCGGATAACTCCTTGTGGTTTGTTTTTTTCTATAAATAAATTATTCGTATGAAAATAATAATAAGCCTGGGTCGGCGTAATAATTTCGGTTCAACTGGTGATCTCAACTTTAAACACATTTATTCCCTAAGATCTTCCTCTTTGGGTGAAAGATATCCGAAGCGATTCGTCATTCTTTCACTGCACTCTCGCACATAGTTATATACAGTGAAAAATTATGTATTTTAAAAATACGCCGTCCTTTATTAATTCTCAAATAGAATACTATAACCTGCCTAAGCAAGACGGTGCGCTATCTCGTTAATTAAAATTTAAAAACTTGTCAGAGCACAATTACGGGTGGAAAACGGACAATAATATTAAGGAACAAATACGTTGACATTAGAGCGACGCTTAAGAAAATGTTCAACCATCGCATTTTGATTTCTTAAATGTTTCTAAATCATGCACGTCCGTCCCACGTCCATTCGAAGACACACTCCGATTATAAATTACCGTGAACTTGTAATTAATTCTGTGCTGCTTTAAAAATAAGTGGTGGAAAATTATTTCATGTAAATGATATTTTTCGAAGCAGTATAATACTTGAAAGGGAACAAGGATCTGTTCTTTTTTTTTTTAGCAATTAGTTACTTCAAAGTATAATAAATTGTTTAAGCGCACGAAAAGTGTCATTAAGTGGGCTTGATAATTAAATGCTACAGGACACAATGAACGGACGTAAACGATATGGCTAAGTGCGAAGGAAAATGCCTTGTCGATAAAGACATTGTCCATATCTCGTTATCAGAATGTTCCTCGTTTATAAGTTTATCTAATGTTAGAGCTCTTTTTGCAATAATTATACATCTCTGGACGTAAATGTGCGTCCCGAACTCGCTTAAACTTTTTCCGAGCTCAAGAAATCATGCATCGACAACACTTGTACAAGTAGGTACTTCCCTACTATTTCAAAATACCCTTCATAACTCTCGTTAAGATTGTTGGAATCTATAGTATTGGACTTTGGAGTCAACCGGAATGAATGTGCGAGACCAACTATATTGAAACTATACCAAAATGTCTTGTCATGCAGAAAACCAATTCCCTGTACCAAGATGTCTCGTCATGCAGAAAACCAATTTTCTGTGTCAAGATAACTCGTTAAGCCTAGATTTTATTAACTTTTGCAGACGCCGTAATGCGCGTTTTATTCATTGGAGAGATCTATACCGGTCTCATTGATAATGTAAAGGCGAATTGTTGCGATTTACACATTCTGTGGACTGACCGGAAATGTCTTTTAGTAGCGCGGTTGGTTTGCAGCATTAGCCATTTGATTGCGAACAGCAGTGGCTGCAACATTGCTCGCTGCATTCTGTACATACTCGTTTCGTAAGAATGTTGAGGCAAACTCTTGCTGGGCTTTGGAAACGCTGGCGTCTGAGCTGCGATAAATACGGTGAATCTGAAAATAAATTCACTGGTGATTTATAATAGTTTTATAATCCGTGGAAAAAAGGAGCTAATTGGAGTGCTTATTAAAAATATATAACTGGCAAATTATTAACGCACCTTAGTCAGTAGGAGAAGGTCCCCACCTGCTGCGATGCCGAAGCAGAGAGCAATCAAGAGTACAAGAGTGCCAACAATTATGCTTCCCGGAGTATGACCGAATGCTCCAATAGCTGTTATGATTCCGCTGTAACATTAGAGAAACAAAATGAGATATGTTCTCTTCGGGATCGTAATAAAGTGATATTATTACCAAGTTCCAGAACCAGGAATGCCAATAGCTTGGATGATTGTCACGATGAGTTGAAAGAAGAAGACAAAGAAAAAGACCATGAAGTTGAACGAACTGTCGCTTCTGAAAATGTAAATTAGAAAGTGAGATATTTTTTCTTTGGTCTTAGATTAGAAGGATTTAATTTCGTGGACGTACCTGAAAGCCTTATATGCAGGTCTGAACCAGCAGAGGAACGAGAAAGGGGTGAAAAGAAGGAGGTAGAGAATACCTAATCCGAATGTTGAGTAATTCTCCCCAGTGAGTATCAGGGCAAATCCACCAACAATGTTCAAGACGAGCACACAGCCATGGACTGCAATTAACAATATTTTAATAAAGATTCTTGAACCGATCTTGACTTACAGTTAACGTCCATCTTTAGAACTCACACATCCATAGATAATAGAGCTGTCGGACGATTTTCTGAAAGTCCGGAGGAATCTCGATATCAATGTCCTGTTGAAAGCAAGGTTGAAAGCAGCACTTCTCAGGTAGCGGCGGCCAGTTGTTCCTACTTGCTGAAATTTGAAAATTTTGAGATCGTTGCACACAATGCATGCAAGTGTTACAATATAGTAACACTTGTACAATACAGTTTACTATAATTTTTAGTTACATATTGTTATGATACATACGTATATAGGATGAACTCCTGGAAGGTTCTTCTCTCCTTGCTCTCCATTCTTCATTCGGTGGCCTCTGTTCTGAATTTCCAGCACGAGTCTGTAGGGCAGAAAGTTAGATATTATCGTGAACATTTTTTTTGCATTTATTTAGCTTATTGGTTCTTGAAAAAATAATATACATCTCTGGAATTGTCTGTTGGGCTGAACGTCTCTGGAACCGACTGCTGAGCACTGCGACTGTACGGCGGTGGTGGTTCCTGACTGCTAGGTTGGAGGGTAGCGGGTTGCTGTGCAGCGGACACTGAACTATAAATAGGAGGGTTTGAAGCACCTCGAACTTGCGTGGTCCCTTGTTGCGGATTTTGTTCTGCAAAGGGGTTGTAATCTTCGATGCCCCTGTTAGTAAGATTTGACCTAACAGCCCGTTTTATAGCAGGATCCTGAAATCACAATTTTCCATTATTTTTGTATATTTAAAAGCACCATCTGCTAGTCTTTAATGCTGGTTAGTCTACAGATATTTGTTACGTTTCTTTTCCGTGCGGTCATTAAATCTTGGATATTTTAATTCTAATGTTCAATCTACAGTTAGGTATCTGTACCGTGGAAGTTATAAATATTCTCAGAATGCATTAATTCTTATCTCTTCGATATGTAGATGCCATATAAGCTAACGACATTTACAACTTCAAAGGCAGCTTCGATGTAAGAGTGGACATTATTGAGGAATGTAATCAAAAAGCAATAAAATACACATGCACGATTTCAACATAATGCGTTTAAGGTGACAAGCGATGATACATGCTTGAACTTATCCCGCTCTGAAAATAAAAAATAAAGTGATAACTAACAAGTGTTGCAGTTTGATAAATGTCGATGTCTTTCAGGTGGTTAAAAAAATCTGTTAATTCCTAGGTTATCGGTGAGGAGCAGTGACTCATCGTGCCAGAATTATGACAAGTTTGACAGCTACAGCATGCGAGTGTCGAAGAACATGTTTGCAGGTAGAAAGATGTGGCTGTCAGTGGATCATCGCTTACCGAGAAAGGATCGTTCAGGCCTGGCTCGCCAAATGGATTCTCGTCAAAGTTGGACATTTTCGGTTTGGCACCTTTCTACGGCGACGCCGCTACAATTCTTAACAGGCTATCCGAATAATCTGCACAACGGAGTTATATCTAAAACCAGCGATCCATCATCTTGCAACTTAAGGCCACGGATAAACTCTACAGAAAATCGACGAGATACGTTTACCGCCACATATCGGACATTCATTTTGCAGTTGCGCCATCTGAGACTGGCTATAATAATGCATTATCAGATCGGCTCACTCATTGGGTGATTCCGTTAGATCCATCCAAATATAATTTTTTAACCAGAGTCATCTCTGTTCTTAACCTGAAAGACAAAATGGATGCAGTTACATTCGGATCTATCTGTGACGCTAGGTTTTTAATCGAAGCAATCGTGGCGCCACTCTGCGAACTAAATCCATACCTCAGACACGAACCTAAGTTTTACACGTGTTCGTTTGTCTAAGTTTTATTTAATTTAATCATTTAATATAATTCTTTTTAAGACTGTAATGTATACAAGGTCAATTTAATATTAGATTGTGTCAATACAGTCGGGACGTATTTACGGATTTTTTTTTTATTACTGTCTTGTAAGTTGAGAATTCTATACAAAAATTCTAACGGAGCGATACATTTATCCCTACGGTAAGAAGGTATTGAAGTTTTCGGGTCTTGTTCAGCTCACAGTCCAGAATGATTTATAAAATTCCTGGGTGTTAATTTCCTCAATCAGGTGCAGTACTCTAACGAAGAACTCGTTCAATTTACCCGCTGTCCCGTTCCGCAGCCTTTGGAAGTTTTTATCTGAAATTATACCACTATACAGCTGTCATCTGTTTTAGGTTTACACCAACTGCTCAAAATTAGGGATCCCCTTGATTTACCTTCCGGACATAAGGTCTTGTTAACCCAGACTCTTTGCTGGGTAAGTGCAGCCATGAGCCTCTTAACAAGGAGGCCTTGACTTTCGTTCGTCATTGGCCTTAGGCGGGAAAGGAATCGTAACAGATACTCAAGTAAATATCGATTACAATGTTCCAGTTTCTGAAAGCACTGCTGCGGCCTAGAGCCCCAAACGACGATATTGCTCAGATCGTCAAGCTCCAAAACTGGTCGTTTCAATGTCTCGAGCCACTCCAAAAGCAGATTCGACAGAACATGTAAGTCCGTCTCAAGTTCAAGCCGTTGCCACGCAGTGCTGCGAGTATTTAGATCCACCTGTTAAACATACGATATTAAGCTATATGCCCCAGGAATGCAATATTTGCATCCGAGGTTGAATCTCTTACGTCGGTATACCTGATAACCCAGGAGTTGTTTCTTCCTCTCTTCCGACAAGAACCTATGACTACAAAGGAAAGCTCTCATAACCTCGTCGGTCTCAGCAACATGGAACATTTCGTGCCGAGCAGCTGCCTTCAGGTTCATCTGCGATTGAATCTCCTTGTAGCAATCGTTCTCGAAGAGATCTTGATCTTGGATGCCATCGCCCAGGACATCGTCCACGCAAATGTCGTCCAGTGCTGAAAGAAGTTTCCATTAGAAATGATCAGCAAAATGATCGATGATTTATGTAGCGAAGGCTGATAGGAAATTCTGGGGGGTGAGTCTGAGCTAGTCACGCGAGGCGATAGTAATGGTTCATTACCACGCTTGTTATGCCCTCCTGCTTGCACTATATTAACTACCGCTCCGTTCAGTTCAAGGTAACGAGGTCGGGGAATATAAATACCCAGGACCGCTCGACATTTCTCGAGGCATAACATCAAAGTGTCCACGAAGTTACCTGAATAAGTGGAGGAGCAGGACGGGGCGTCCGAAGAGGTGCAGGACACGTCGGTGAACGTTCCCATCGTTTCGGAAGTATCTAATGTAGATCCTTGGCTGCTGCCTCTGGAATTGGTCATCGAGGCTACGGAAAAGCGAAAGAAAGGGTTTTTAAAGAAACTATAATTTTTATTCAGATATTTCTCAGGAGCACAACGATGATCCTCACCAGAACCGTCGAAAGACGCGTCCGTGAAGGACTCCGCCCAGGAGTAAGAGTGTCGCAGCTTCGTACCGTTATCACGGAAGGATCCTAGCACGTGCGATATGAATTTCTGCGTAAAAGGTACATTAGACACGGCGAATTTGATCTCAGCCGGCGAATTGTCGTTCTGGCTGTCGCACAGCTGCAGAATCCGCTCGCAGATTGTGAAGACGATCTGCGATGAAGAATTTCAAGATACAGTCGTCCTGAAAGCCGATTCTTTTTCAGGAAACGAACCTTCGGGATGTGCTTAAAGGTCCTTTGCTCGTACCCGTGGAGGACGTTTTGCTGCTTCCTGAGATGAGACCGGAGGCTGGAAGGCTTTGCGTTTCCTGGAGCTCCGTTAATGGGGAAAACTATCATCTGAGGAAGAATGAAGTGCTCGAACTCTTGGATGCATGCAATCTGGCCCCGGGTTTGGATCGCACACGGCCTCTTCATGCGTACGAATCTAATCGCGTCGCTTGCTCTCACCCTGAGACTGTACACCAGATAGCATGCAATTAATACGCCCGTTCTGCCCAAACCTGAAGAGAGAAAGAAACGAGATTGAAAGCCGGGTCGGAGTCTGGGAGCTCGATCGGATCGTAGCATCTTCTGGAGGTCGGAGCGAAGGGCCTCCTCTGGGTTCTTATTTTAGCCCGAGGAATCGATATCGACGTAACAAATTGCATGTAAGGAGGGTAAAGTGTAAAGTGGCCCCCAATTGTGGTCTCCAATGTGTACAGAGTCCTAATTTCAAGGCCATTTCCGACTTCCGGGTGCACGATCGATCCCCGAACGCGCTCTCGAGCAATAGTCAGGGCCTTACATAGTTTTGCTTCAATTAAACCACACGGACGGGATTACGGATAGAAAAGTACCGTGAAAAATGACCGCAGATTACAAGCTGATGTCTACGGTGCTTCGTACCAAGTATGTGCGTGGCTTAATCTGTAAAATCGACATGCGATTCGAAGACAAGTGAATATTCCATCGGAAGGGAATTAGACATAATTATTGCGTGTCTAGTACGCGTCGTTAGTGCCCATTTCCGGCCATTCAAGATATTACCGTTCCCCGAGTTGTATTGTTTGATCGAACCGTAATGCGGGATATAAGGTAAAGGTTCCATTAGAGGCACCGTCCTAATTCGGCTATCCAGCTAGGAGGAATATCGTAAACCCTGTTTCTATTGATACCGATTTATAGAAAATGTTATCTTCACAACACGACGTTGGGTAGGATATTTATAAAAAGTGGAGGACTTGTAGGAGCTTGAAAATGCAATTTTTCAAAGCTCACGCCTTCGCTATCTTCATCTATCGGAGAACGCCGCCATTAAGTTACTCGTTTATTTGCCTTTTTCCTCGCGTGAATGTTTTAGAGGGACATCGGCGTCGCGATTAATGCGAATTTCCCAGGAGGCGGATAGCACGCGAAAAGCTTCGTTTTACGGAATAACGCAAATGGCTGCTTTATCTTACCGGCGTGACAGTGGATCGCTACTCTTCCCTCCTGCACGGCGAAGGCCACGACCTTGACCATGTCCAAGAGCTTGTCCACGTTGGTCTCGTCGTAGTCTTTCCACGCAAAATTGTAATAGTATACTGTAAGCGAAAAAGGTCGTTTTTATCCTCGAGATTACGCCGAAAATATTGAAAGATGACCAGGCAAATCGGTTTCGGAGGCGCTCAGGTGGACCTTCGGAACCGAGGAAGTCCCTCCAGGGGAATTCGACCGACCCAGAAGGTCGCTCGATATTTCGGGACGAAAATAGGATTTTACTTTTCACCTCTCTACCGATTTGCTGCATTGCATGTTTCGCCGGGCCTCTTCGATCCGCGAATTGGTTACGCAAGTACGATCGTTTGTAAATTTATAAAGCTAATTGCGAAATTTATTTCAAAGGCTAGAGATTTATTAATAGGAAGAAAGCGGCGAGTGAGATTTTTTTTGCCGATTTTTGTATTAATTCACTGATCGATCCTACTGCCGCTTCTCATGAAGTTGTTCGGGTCGTTTAGAAAGCTAATTGGGAAATTTATTCCAAAGGCTAGAGATTTATTAATAGGAGAAGGCGAGTGAGATTTCTCTTTACCGATTTTCTGTATTAATTCACTGATCGATCTTACTGCCGTTCTTCATGAAGTCATTCGGGTCGTACGTGAAGCCGCTTTCTTCTAGAGGGCCGCCACAGCTTGCATGTTCTCCCGGAGTTTGCAGGTTTATTATGGTCTTGATGCTCCAACCGTGGAATTGTGTGATTATGTCCTTTTTGGCGATTTGCGTCGTGCTGGGACGCGCCATCGCGAGGACGTCGTCTGTTACCCTGTAATAATGCTTGTACAATTTCTCACAATCACTGTCGTAGCCTGAGGCGATCGGGCAAAAATTACCGTGACAAATCAATTGTCATAACATTTTACTTGATTCGACGGAGTACTTTTGTAAACCGTTCTCGAGAAGAGCCATCGATTAACAATTTACAGAGCGTTCCATTTCCGTTAGTCTGCACTTTGCCGAGCTATCGATCGAGTATTACTCTTAATAGTGCACGGTCCCGGTCAACAAATCATTTATAGGGATATCGGGCATTCCGTTAATCGCTGGCCCTTTTCTTTTTTTTTAATCCTAATCCCAACTAGCGTTGACTAATGCCTCGTTATCTTTTCTTCCAGGCAGATGGACTCTCATCCCTCGTCGTACCAATGCGAGTACACGTCCTGAATGGCCATGTGGACCGGTAGCCATGATTTCGGATTCTCGTACTTGCAACGCGAGCCCCCGCAGAAAATGGCGCATTGAATGACCCGAGGGGTCAGTTTTCTCAGATTCTCCGAGATTTTATTGTACCCCGCCGGGATGTTGCTAAGGTCCAGTCGCACAGTTTGAAGAGCCGCAGGGACCAAGGAGTTCACGTCCATCCTGCAACGTTCAAGGTGCTCTTCGACATTCCCTTCATCACGATATTACCTATAACTTTTAATTCATTATTTATGATAATTAATTTTCTATTAATTTAGTATCTGCCCCAGCGCTTACATTTATGAAGGGTTCCACATGCTCGTCGTCCATCGCATCACCATGCACTCTTCTCCTCGATCCACTGCCGTTCGTTTAACAACATTTGTTTATCGTCACGGCGGTTCTTGCACCAGATCGGGAACTACTCGCGTGCTACCGAAGGAGAGAATCGCGCGCAAATGAAATGGTCATTGGGGGATATAGTTGTTCTCTTCGGGTTCAGGAATAGTGGTGGGGAAGAGTCGCCCCACCACGGTTTGCATCCGAGCTGCAACGTCTGCGCTTGCGTTATCACTGTCACATCGGCCTAAGATACCTTACATCTAGAATAATTGACGTTAATACTCGCGCCAAAGCGTTTAGATATTAATATTAGCGTTAATTTCAGGACTGCCGTTATAAAAGTGAAGAAAAAACTCATATTTACGACGTGGCTGCGACCCAAAGGAGCCCATTAACGAGTGTACGCAGTTGCATACATCTCCTCGCGATAGTGCAATGATAAGGACATGCAGATCAGTATGTCAGTAATTTAGATCTGTCGTGACACGGCAAGGTACATGCAGATGAACTTGCCAAGTTAGGACAACGCGAGATGGATGGACGTATGCACGTAAATTAGAATTCCACGCTGGGAAATGCAATGAAAAAATTGACAACGATCGTTATCGAACCCGGAAATCGTATCTAGAGGGGCTCTGGAAGAAATGGCACACAAGTCCCTTCTCGATTATTTAGAAGCAATGTATATTATTTCAAGTATCACATTCAAAAAAGAAAGCAAGAACCGCCGCTTCGAATTCGGTCGCGGCGCGGCCATCTTGGAATTTTAGAATCCTCGAGACGGAGCTCTGATAACGGAATGAACTCAAAGAAAAAATAAATAAAATACGCGTTAACAGCGTTATTCCTACAGATTCGAAGTTATGGCATCCAGGTTTCGTTTGGAGGATTTCGGGGGATACCAAATTCGTTGCGACATGCCTCGACGGTGTACCGGACATGCTCGAAAGAGATGAGGGAGGAACGCGAGCAACAGATACTGCAAAGAACGTGGTTCGTAAATGGTGTATTCGTTAATTCCTAACGCCTCATCAGTTTGACTATGTACAGAAGAGTCTATATATCAAGTCCTTAATTCATTATACACAGTACATAGACTTAGAGTAGCGGTAGTACGATACTTGAAACATGTCCAAACGGCAGTGGCATCCCCTGACCCCTGAAGAGATCCCATCGACCAATCGGAGCCTATCTTTGGTATGTCACCAGCCGTCCAATTCGAATATTCTTCCATTAATGCCTTATCAGTCGTGGTTTTTGTTAACACAGCGCGATGACCGCGGTTATCACGTCGCGTCATCAAAGAAGAGACCCTCTAACAAGTGTGTCGTCGGTGTCGCCAACCCTGCCGACTCGTGGCATCGATCCCCTGTCGGGGTTGCACCTTCATTTTAAATTACTCGCCTGATTACCAGAGATTTATACGTAATTATCATAACGATTGCATTCAAAGCCTGCGGGCAATTTTGTTAATCCTATGGCTATCGATCGGCTCCTCGTCGACTCGACAAATGCATGCTTTCGGAATGCGCCGAAACACGGAATGCTTATTTCGGAACTCGTTGCGGAGGTTCGCCGGTATTTTGGAAGTACGCCTCGGTGCGCAATATCAGTTAGAAAGTCGATTAAATCGTCGAAACGACTCGGCCGAATTTCGGATAACGCCAAACATGGCTGACGTCTCGTGTAAGCGCTTCTTATTACAGGGTCTCTAAAAGCCAGTGCCGTTTGGACGACATTCTCTCGGCATTGTCTTTGTTACCGCCACGGCGTGTTGTCGGCCATGGCTCAATGATACCATTAATATTTTAGTATTAGTAGATAAATAGAGGGGCGGGAGAGCTGGTGATAGGGGAAAAATGGCGGTGGAGCGTCGACGCGAGAACGCGGAACAGAGACATGCCTGTTTTAAAAACTACCTAGAAGACCGTTTTCCAAAGGACGCGGACGTAGTTGGAGATGCTTCTTCATCTACGTCCACGTCCCTCGCCGTCGGCACTGATTTGTCAAGGGTACGCTTCGAAACGATAAAAGAAAAGATAAGAAAAAGAAATTCAAACAGCGTCTAAACGCGTCTTTTTCTCCACGAGTCTAGTCGAGTGCAGGCGAAATCCGAGCTTTCACATTCGCTACGCGTTTAACTGTGAGTCGGTGTTGCAGTCTAACAATGTAGCGCCGCATTTTTATAATAATATCACAGTAACGAAAAGCTGTTTCACCCCGCGCGTTGCCCCTCTTCCCCTGGACATCGTAACAAGAGTCGGGTGCACGTTGCGCTAAGTTTGCACAATTACATGTTAATTGTGTAACGGTTACACATGGGTAAGCGAAGACCTGGGTATCTCTTCGGAATCCGACCGGTCGGGCGGAACAGATAGGTTCATAAAGTTAAAAACCGATCTCTGATCCTCGCTCTCAGTGTCCCTCGAGGAGGAACGTATTATTTTCTGTCGCCCCTAAATGCAAATTCATGATTACGGACTTACAGGTGAACGAGTCACTTCGTGCAGGTGCCTAACGAGTTAATTTCGAGGATCGGAACGAATGGTAGTACCACGGAGGAAACGAACTTGCGGAGGACATCGGCAATTCGGGTTCGAACGTCAACGGTGGATGCAACGGAGGAGACCCTGGTGGGAGGATTTTTCGGGAACGCGTAAGCCAATGAGCCCGAAGTTATTAAGTATTGCTTTGATGCACCCCGGATATGCAAAACGGACTTCAGTCACCTTTCGGAAGGCCTCGGGGAAGTTCTCCAAAGAGTTCGGAACCACTCTCCGAGGCCGCCAAAGGCGAATAAAGGAAAATTCCGAGAAAGTATCTCCACCAGAGAAGGGATACATATGCTTATATGTATATATGTATGTTCATACATGACTTTTCTAGTTTATGTATAGAATTCGTACCGTCCGGTCGAGCTTTGCGTACGGAGTACCGTCTAGAGGCTGTATCGCGTCGCGTATCGTCACACCGCTCGAAGTGCGTCCGAGAAATCGTCGTCGGCGTCGCAGGGTCATTTACAAATCCTAGGGGTTACTTCGTACGAATGAATATGAAACTACTTATAGGTACTTCCTACGGCTCTATACAGGCTAAGACGACGGTGAAGGAGGAGCGGAACGATCGGCGGCTCGCTCGCACGCGGTCACGCTTCCCCCGAGACCAGGCTCTCCATGGGAGCTTTGGACAAGATTCAACAAGGGCTCGTCGTCCCGAACGATCCTCGATGGTCCGAGCTCTCCTAAAAAATTCACGCGCCTACGAGCGCGCTCGCATCGAAATCCGCCGTGACGCGTCTCTTGGAACGGGCCGACCCGCGTCGGACTGACCTCGTTTAACCAAACTCTGCTACGCCTTACGACCTCTAGATTATCTACAGTGTGTTTATGTATATATATATGTACACCTCGCGAAGCATCTTCTGGCTCTCGCGACAGCCCGCGCCACCCACCGGAGGAGGGCCGAGCGACCGCTGTCGACGTCTCCGCGCGCTGAGACGCGAGGGAAGCGCGCGGTCCGCCGCCCAGGATTCCGTACGCCGAGTCGATAGCCATCGCCGTCGTTAGCCCATTGGGATAACACGGCTACCGACGCCGATATCCGTCGAACTTGGTGGACGGAATCCCGCTACAAGCTCTCTTGGAAGATACCGTGCGAGGCGCTCGCCGAAACGGTCGTCCGCCGCCGGTGGCGCCGCCTCTCGGGACGCGGGGCGAACCGCGAGGCCCCACGGGCCGCGAGGCGCCACCTAGCGAACGCACCTCGTTAACACTAGGAAATATACACGAAGTCGAAACGGAGATACATCGTTGTTCACAATTGCTTGGATAAAGATATGGATCGATGGGGCGGGTGGATCGCCAATTCGATTGGCCGCCGCGCCCCGTGGATTAATAGACGCTTCCTCGAAGTCTTTAGACCGCGCTCGAAGCGCGGTTGGATATGGTGAGATTTTCCGGGGGCCTAGGGGGACGGGGATGGAGGGGCGGGATCGGGGCTTCCTGGATGGAGTTGGGACGGGAGTGTCTCTAATTAACCGCGGGGTGGTACTACGCCTCGATCTGGTCCTCGGGGGCCATTATGTCGGGCGCCATCGACAGATCCTCCGCGATGTCTTCGTCCTGCCCCGAGTCCTGGCCGTGGCTCTCCGGGTACTCTCGCTCGTCCACGGCGTCCTCCTCCGCCTCCTGTTCCGTCGGCGCCTCGAGCAGTTCCCGTTTTATCAGTCTCGAGAGCTTCCCTCCCTCGGGACTCTGACCCTCTTGCTTTATGTGCACCGTCGGTTCGTCCAGCGGCGACCTGCGCGCGCAGAAACTCGCATTAGGTCTCTTGGGAATTGGGTCTACTCCACGTTGCGCTTCCCTTCGGTCGAAGTCTACCCTAACACCGTTTGCACCTGCCGGCCCCGCTTTTTTTTTCTATGATAATTATGCAAATAAATGAAAGTTACTTTCTTTTCGGCAGAAAAGTCGCTGCTAGCGCTGGGTTTCCCGGTACAGGTGCAAACAGCCTAAGGGGGCGACGAGTCGGATATCGTAGACTAAACTCGATTCATTTATGGATTAGTATTATTACAATATTATGTTAAACGACAAAATATCCGACTCGTCGCGTCAATGAGACACTTTATAACTTAAGGACTTACATTAAGTCGTTGTGAGGTAACACGTGCTCCTTGTCGGGGCTCGTCGCGGTCGACGTGCACATTGAATTGTTCAAGAATCCCATGTTGGACTCGCCAAGCGCAGCCTGGAAATACTCAAATTGCATTAGACGATTAGTTACTTCCGAGCTGAGCGATTAATGTGCAGGAAGACTTAAACGAATTATTTAAATTGCTACATTCATGAGTCATTCATCCCAACGCTCTTGGCACCCTTTGCAATATACAGAGATAGGAATTAATTAATCCAACCGGTAAACGTTCTAGTCCCTGAAAAGCAGGAAATGTTTTATTTCGTCGAGTCATATTTTAGTAAAATAGTATTCTTAAAGCATGTTATAGTTACCTGGAGGTTAGCATTGAGAGCATCGCCGTACATGGTCGGACTGTGCGTCAGCGTCGGACTCTTCGACGGGACACCCCTGGATATTGACAAAAAGAATAGTCAATACAAGTCGAAATTCCCAAGACAAATGCGATCTCTTGAAAGGAGGGACGCTCGAACGTCGTAATGACGTATATCGGGGTGAATGTCAAGTATGAAATAGGCGAAATTCCCATTTTTTTTACTGGTTGGGGGAAAACAAAAAAAAATAAATAAATAAACGGACAGAAAAACGTGGGGGAATTATATCGCAAATCGAGTCTGTATACAGATATCATATCGGAGACTGTACATACATATAACTGGGTAAATAGATTAAGTGACAGAGAGAAAGAGAAAGCACATGGAGAGAAAAGTGGAGGTAGACAGAGAGAAAGAGAGAGAGAGAGTAGGAGAATATTCGTAAAAGTATACTACACATATAGATATTAATATGTATAGATGGAGAGTGAAAAAATAGAGACAAAAGAGCGAAAAAGAGGTCGAAAATCCTTACCTACCACCCGGTGCTCTTTACGCCGACGACCGTGGGGAATGTCAGAGCGAGATTAGATAAAAAATATCGAGAATTTATATTTTAAAAAAGACGCCTCCGCCTGGAATCGCCGCGCGCGATCTGCGGCCAAAGGACGCGTCGCGACGCGAGATCCGGGCGGATTGGGGAGTTTATAAACGGCCTTGGTTTACCTGGGCTCACCTGCGGTTAGTTTCCTTTAATTTCCGAAAATCCACGGGATATTGACCGAGCGTTTGTACGGGTTCGCGGATCATACCGAGATTATGATCCGGCGGACCGTACGACTGATACTTAGCTGGCAATCGCAAGAGGAGCTCGGCAGAGTTCCGCGGCCAAATACATTATGCAACGCGCGCCCGACCGAGTTTCTTTACTTGAACACATCGGGAGGAAAGACACAGAGCGATGGCTTTCTTAAGACACGTCGTCCTAGGATCATTTTCAGCGCCGAGATCATGGCGATTTGCCAGCAAAGTGTTGGGCATGCGAGGAAAAAGGTTAATAAAAATCGAAACACCTCGGCCGTTCACGAAACCCCCACAAGCGCCGTTAAAGTTAAGTCGGAATAGGTAGAGAGGGGCGGTATAAAAGTAGGAGGTGAAAGAGAGGGGAGTAAAACTGGACACATAAATATTAGAAAAATGTTAGAGAGAAATAGTTAAACGACAAGATTGAAAAAGAGTAACAAGTTGAAAAACTGACGATTAGTATGACTTTGGCTCGGTACCTGAAGACTCAGTCGCGTCGACAGTGGTCGGTGGCATCCGTATCACCCGAGGAATATTATCTACCGCAGTTCGTACAATTTACACATGCGCAAGTAGCACATACGCACCCCCAGCCATTCAAGAACGCACTCATACCAGGTGAGACCCGAGAGTTCGTATCGCGCAACGAGACGGGCGTTTTCGGGACTACCTCGAATTCTGGACGCTGACTGATAACGCGACAAGTACATTCCCCGGAATTATCGACAATTGAATAAAAAGTGAAGGAGAAAAAAGAAAGTGAAACGTTGAAGATCGCCGCTTCCGCCCCTCGCACGAATACTCCCTCTTCACGGTTGGACACAACATACGGCTCGACATAAGCACCATAAAAGCCACAGCGTGTTTCGAGGAGCAGGGCGGTAGAAGGGTCGTTACTCTAATTACGAGGCGAAGGACTCTTTTCTTCATGCGAGCTAATGCTGGGAGGTTCAGGGATCCTGGAATCGACGACCAATCCGTCCTGTCGTTGGCGCCCTTCAGGGTCGCGTGGTCCCGGGGGCATCGGGTTCTTCCCGGGACGTGACTACGGGGCTTTTGTCCCTAGAGCTAGGACCCAGTCTAGGGACTTTGGCACTAGCGCTAGTTCAAGTTATGAATAATACCGGGACTGGTCATGAAATTCTACGCCGAGTGTCGAGGATCTCGCAGGCAGGAGGTACTTTCGGGGCACTACTGTTGAAGTACGAGGAGCAACGGGTTCGAGAGACTCATGATCCAGGCGTTTGCTTTCACGCGGGAGAATCTACTTTCCATAAAGTCTTCCTATTATTTCTTTTTTGCAAGTATCCCTTTTAACAATGGAACGTCCTGCTGCCTTCGGTGGATGGTATCATGGGGAATTTATGTCGTGTAATTATACAGCGAGAAGAAGAAAAAAATTCATCGAACCAAGGAAATAATTACTTCAACGGTGTTATTCGAGTCTAATAATTATTCTTTTAATCGACAAGATACGTACTCTTTGGTACCATTTAGAGAAATATTTCTTTGCTTGGATGGAATTCTTTTCTTGGTGCGGTTGAGCGCGTAGGAAGGTCTTCTAGGTCTTAGAAGTGGACGGAAGCGTTTCACCACCTTGTGCAGGATGAGGTAGGATTGATTTAGTCGGGAAAGTGCAGAAATGGAACCCCGGCCTCTCACGTCGGGCAGCAGGCTCGCGGTTTCCTTCCAAGGGGAGACAGAGAGAGAAAAGAAACTGAAATGAAAGGAAACGTAAAACCCGACGACGCGGAGACCCGGACGAAGCGACTCGTCATGAGCTCCGTGCGAAAGACGGACACTTATCGGAATGTCGCGTCAGCCAGCAGCAGAATTCTATAAAGTGGTAGTGCTTACTGTGCGGAGAGGTGGGGTGGAGTGGGTGATGGGGTTGGGTCATATTTCCTGGGGCGGCCGCGGGAAAGATGCCGCCGCTTTACGAACTCGGCGTCGTCCACCATCCAGAATGAGCCGAAGTCGTCCTCATAGCGCACAAAACACTTGTGCAACGATAGATTGGTGCGGATCGCGTTCTGTATACACAGACAAGAACCACCAAGAAATAGAGAAAAGAGAGATAAAAAAGACAAGGTTCGGTGTGGTGTTGGTAGAACTGCGGCTGCGGCAGGCAGCGCGCTGATTGGCGCTCGGGGGCGTCACGTGGTGGGGACGGTCCCCACCGCAGGGGCCTCCTCGTGGCGGCCGCGGCTCCCGGTGGTCGGCGGGGCGACTCGTCCTTGGCGGGCTCGTCTTTCGTTTCTCTTCGTTTCGGCTCGTTAATCGAGAGACAGACAGGTAGAGATAGAAAGAGAGAGAGAGAGACATAGCGAGAGGAGAGGAAGAGAGAAAGAATGAGACGTTACTAGACGATACAAAAGTTGGCTCCTAAGAGAGAAAGACGGAGAAACAGTCAGAGAGAAAGAGAGAGACAGAGAGAGAAAGATGTATATGTATAAATATATATGTATATATATTTAGGCGGGAGAATGTAAACTTTGGCGAGCTGCGGCTCCCCCACTACCTGACGTGCACGACACCCTTTCTCGCTACGTCGCGGCACACGGTTCACCTCGTTGCCGCGAGATGGCGCCCCCATCGGGCGCTGCCGGGATTTCTAGTCTCCCTTATACGTGTTAGTCGCTGCAAAGCCCACATGCTTGTTAAGCACACGCACTCGCCCTCGCATACCTTGTCTCTGCAGACTAACACTCGCCAACCACGTATACGGCGTCACATAGACGCGACACTCCGTGCAAGGTGGTGAACCAGGACGCGGGCCTGCCGAGTTCCACTTTTAGGGGTTCCACTTTGACGCCATGTTTTGGGCGGGTTTTTTTTAAATCGACGAGGAACGGTTATCGGTGGTCCCGCGTCGAGGTGCGCACACCCACACCGACACGCTCCCGCTTGCACACACGGCACACGACACACGACACAAGCGACGTACACACGTAGAGTTAACCACGCGGTGTATGTGTACACAGACAGATATCTATATATATATACATACACGTAATGCGTAAGTAGGTAGAACACACAGGTAGAAGTTGATGTACACAAAGAGATCGTAAAAAGGCACAAGATGTAAATATCGAGAGAGGCGGTAAATGGCGTAGATGCATAAAAGGAAGCGTACACGCGTAGGTGTGCGCGCCCGCGCACACGCGCACGTGCACGAATACCTCTATAGTACAGCTAGATACACAAATATATAAAGAGAATGAATATATATATATAAATATATAATGTAAATATATATATGTAATATAATGTAATATAGATATAAATATGTGAATACAGAGATTAGATACATGAGAGTATGTTAAGAGTATGTAAAAGGTATGTAAAAACGTGTAAAAAGGGCGTCATTAGTACACGAAGAGATCAGGTTTAGGGAGCGGTCGTACGAGGGCCAAACTGGAGGACTTTGGGAGGCGCCAAGATGGCGGCGCCGGGGAGGGTGATGCCATCGACGGATGCGGATATTCGTAGTCTAGGGTCGAGGGAAACCAGATAGTTAAGTAGAAGAGAGGTAGAAATAGTAGAGTAAAGTAGAAAAAGTGGAAAAACTCGGAGTACAAAGATAGATAGAGAAAAAAGAGAGACGCGCGTGTCGGGGGAACGTACCCAGTCGTGCTGCAAGCGCGTTGAGGACGTCTCTTGTAAAACTCCACTTCGTCCACCGTCCATACGGCCCCCTTCACGTTTTCGACTCGCATGAAACATTTGTGGAGAGACAGGTTGTGTCGCACTGCGTTCTATACAAAATAATACACAGACTAAATAAGCAACGCAAAAAACGAACGAAGCCAACTCAATGACGACTCGGCGGCATCCGGTCGGCCGAGGAGGGCCGACATTGCGCGGCGGCCGCCATTTTGGTGAACCGCGCGGCTGGTGACCTCGACGCCTGGGAGAAGGGAGACTTTGGGGGCGCGCTTTTTGAACGGTTCTCGGAGCTCTTGGGATCGACACGTTAGAAAAGTCCGAATAAAAGCGAGAGTCAGCCGTGCAACGTTAATCGGCGGGAAGCCTCCGCTTGAGAATTGAATTCGAAATTAAAAGTTTACCGGCCACCGCAGCGACGCGACGCAGGTCGCCATTACGCTGCAGCCCGTTCATGCAGAATCATAAACTCGAAGTAAAGCAGCGAGATACTAACTCGATATGCTGCGGCTTAATCGAATTCAATTGCTTCTAGATCGAGCGACTCGAGGAAGGTGATGAAAAAAATCAAGGAAAAAGAACGAAAGGAGACCATCGAGAGCCGCCAATCTGATAACGGGGCTGTGACCGGTAATGATAATACTGGTTGCATGAACAATGCGGCCGAAAGAATCACTAATAAAGGCGCTCGTTTATGGGAGGCAACGTGTGCAGATAGTAAGAGAAAGAGGGAGGTCTATATATATATATGTATATATATGTAGAGAGAGAGAGATAGAGTGTGAGACACAGGCTGTGTTGAAGAAAGAGGTATGTGGCATTCCTGTATCGTTAATGCACAGCTATGTATCTAAGTCTAGGGCCAACGACAACGAATCATGCCGCATGGTTGGGAAAACGTGTCTGGTTTCGGGACCAGCATCCTTAGCGGTCCATTGCCGCCATTTCCGGACTTCCGGTCTCAGCTTGGTTCCTCGGATTTCCTCCAGTGGTCCTGGGAAATCTGCTCTTCGTCAACATGGAAACATGCTAGGCAAAGCGATTTCGTGGCAAACATCTATCATCTGCACGCACTCTCACGCACTCAGCGCACACGCGCAATCATTCTCGGTGATCGTGGTGGGTCGTTTTCGGGGCATTGCGGTTCGCTTCCGGTTTCGCAGGAGTCGATTCATTTTTTAGAATTCCCCTAGATTTACAGACCGATTTACTACGTTTCTGGATGTCGTGGTTTCTTTAGAGATTAACTCAGAGATGAGGTCAATGTGGATTCCTTGGATGGAAGCTGAATTTTGGCCATTCTTATTTGCCGCCGCGAAGACTAATTTTGGACGGAAGCAAACCGCGATGCGAGTAACTTGATATGTTACCGTCTTCCCCCGCTCGAGAAAACATAGTAACACGGCATGCGTTGCAGTATCCTCCGCCTGTGGCACGGCCTGTTAATTAAAATTGTCATGAAAGGTTAATCGGTGGCATTTCTTCGGTCTTGTAAAATTCGTACACAACCTGTGCGGAAGTTTCAAAGGTGTAAATAATTGCAGTCGAAGGCTCATCAATTTCCTTTTCACCAGTAATTCCGTCAGTAACTTTTCATCCCATGAATTATCAACGGTCATCATCTACAATCCGCGGTGAGTTGGAAAAGCAATTGCAGAATCGGAGAACGAACTTTCGGTTCGTATCATACATTCTAATTGCAACCTTTGACAGTACTTCTCTGAAATACTTGCTCACATTGTCAAGACATTGTCTCGAGTTATCTCTCGAAATGGCCCGAGGTGATGGATACATATTTTTTATCGAGTTTCTTAGATAGGCTTCGGACTTCTAAGAGGTCAGCCTTGAATCTTAACTAACTTATTAGAGGCGTATAAAAAATTCTGAAGTCTACCTTCCACGTAGCTGCGTTACGCCGGAAGTAGCAGAAGGTGTTCTGGAACCAGTTGTAGATTTCGTTGAGCGTTAGCTGCTTATCCGGAGATTCGATGATAGACTGTAGAGAAGGAAAGACACCATTAGGGTATAGAGGTATAATTATCAATTTCTCTATTAATTAACAACCGTATAGCATACCTGGCGGATTAACGACGCATACGTGAAGGGAGGTCTCACGTCGGCATTCTTGTAAAACTCCCGGTTCCGCTGAATCTCTGGAAAGACAGCAATATGTAAGTTCGACCACACAATTCGCAATTAAAGAAAGTGCTACGGTTTCGTACGGAGGACACGGAAATACATGATTTACGGTGTACACCGTGGACAACAAACAAGCAGCAATCGAATGTCTGACACGAAAGCCTATGACGAGCTCAATTATGAGATATCGGTGTTGAGTCTTATGAATGACATCCTCCTTTTGGTGGCTGCAAACGCTAATTACAGGGAACAACATACAGGGTCGAAACGGGTAATGATCATGCAGGACCATAAGAGGATGACAAAGGAAACGGACGTGAGGCGTACAAGTCGGAGCCAAGCTTCGCGTCGTTCACTTCGAGGCGGCCATTTTGTACCGGAAGACCGTCAAATAACCGAAAAAGCAACAAGAAGTGAGAAAACAGATCAAACTCGAGAGTAAATAAGACGTAGGTATTTTTAAGACGCGTAGTTAGGAGATATCTAGGTCTTAAATATTGAATTCTTCGGCCGTTCCTCTTTTGAGATGGCCGCCATCTTGGATCCGACCCGCAAGCTCGATCTTCGTGGAAGGAACATGGCCTTCCCGAAACTTGTCAAGTGACAGGAAGGAAAGTAGGTTGACAGTACCTTGTTGGACGTCAAGGCCAGCACGCTCCAGCATGTAGGGCAGCCCTACACGGTGGGGAGGGCGGCCAGCACAAAAGTCAAAGAAACAGCGTGACCATTTACAAGAATAGAGATCGGAAGTCGCGAGTCAAAACTCACGGGCAGCGCTTTCAGTCTTGCCGTTCGATTCGAAGGTAATTACTAATCCCGCCATGGGAGCTCTCCGAATTCCCCATGGAACGGAGAGCTTCCAAAAGTTAATTTTAATTGTTCGGCAAGGCCGAGACGCAGCCGAGACGCAACTCGGTGAGAGGATAGGTTGCCAACAAGGTGTGGACACCACACTTTTCGTCGCGTAGGGTGCTTCTCTAGATACATGGCAGTGTCTGTCGTGTAGAGGAAGGGCACAAGAGACGAAGAGAGAGGACCGCAAAAAAACTAATCGCCACGGGAGTGATGTAGGGGCAGAGACGTACGTCGCGATCGCGCGCCGACGCGCCGCCATCATGGAACGTCCACTAGGGGATCGTGGATTTTTCTTCGCCTCCTTCTACCTCGACACAACCGATCCGAACCGATGAGATCTTCACGTTCCTCGAGACGGGACGTTTCACGAACCGCGCGCCGACGCGACTCCGGGGTCTGTCAATGATGGTTACCTTCGTTAATATCTATGCCAGATCTATCGATGGATACTCTGCGCCTTACAGTGCCCTCCTCAAACGGTCCTACGAATAGGATTTTAGGATTTAAGTCTGAATTGCGCCCCCGTAAGCATCCTCTCGACGCGCGCCAATGGCAACCCACTCTACCAGCGATCTCTCTCGGCATTATTGCGACTGGCCCTCGAGAGATGATATTCCAAATCCACGCACGGTCCTCGGATCGATCGGCGATCACAAGACGCGAGAGAGAGGCGAGGGCGCGGTACTGGGTCGCCCCGCGTAAGGCTCATTTTCGCGCGCCTTAGGTACGGGATTATGGACCTTACGGCGAGGTGGAACGATATTTTCTGTCCAGCACCCACGTGGTCTTCGGGGTGAAATCGAGATGTAGGGCAGGGCGAGGGGCCTATTACCTCCGGCCAACGAGAGAGCAGACTTGTCGCTGATTCGCCTCCTGATCGGCCCGGCCATGCTCGGCATCGTAGGCATGCTCGGCATGCTCCCTGGCATGCTGGGCATGGAAGGGATCCCCGACATGTTGGACATGTTGGGGATCGGCGGCATCGGTGCACCACCGGCCGAGGGTGGTAGTTGGCCTCCTGCTGGGGACCTCACCGCCGAGACCAGCGCCGACATCGAGACCGGCGACACCTGGGAGACTCCGAAATTCGGGGGCGGCTGGTTCATCAGAGCGGAGGAGAGATTCAACTTTGGCAGACTCGAGCCCGTCTGAAACCGAAATCGTTATCCGATGGAGAAGTAACGAGGTAAAGCGGCCACTCGAAATCCGTAAGTGAAAGCCTGAAGGTTCGTTTCCGGTAAAATAGGAGACACCCGGACGACTAATTCCACGATCCGGGAGAGAAGAGAGTCGCCTTTAATAACGCCCATCCCCGGACGAATGTCGCCGAGGAGCAACGCGGTATTGGTATTCTCCAACTGCCTAACTTGTTAGGGATTTTAATTAAGGCGATATAAATCGTCCGGCGGGATGAATTATTAATATCAACTTCCTGTATAAATTAGCGCCCGCCCCGGCCGGGCATTAAAGCCGAAACTAGCGTCCTCTGGTCGGGGGACCGCCAGACTACGGGGTGCGTTGAAAAATCCGCCATACGACTTCGGAAGGGCATCTTTTTTACCCCCGTTTCGGTTGCATATAAAGTAAGGCCACGTTTCGCAGGGTGCAGGGAATCGATCGGGGAGGACTCGCTCACCGACGACTCGGATGACTTCGGGGGCTCCGGGGAGGCCATTTGTTTGGCCACGTGCAGATGATGCATCATGGCGGTCAGCCGGTCTCGCTCCTTCTGCAGTTGTATTTCCAGCTGCGAAACCACTTGCATCTGCACTCTCGCCTGGGCCGTCGACCTGTCGTCCAACGTGTGACCGTTGTTTAAGTGCCTTAGAACAGAAAGAAGGAATAATTAAGCCCTAAGGAACAATTCAACCCCCTTCATGCCAAGCTACTCGGTAAGTATTTTTCAAAATATCGAAAAATCCACCCCAATCGGGGGCGAAAGGTCCAACAGCAACACGGCCGAGGCGTTCTTTCGCCCTCGGGAATTGTCAGTGATTCCAGGATCCCAGCGTCCCGACGTATCCTTAATCCTCCCGGTCGGCGAGGCAGAGGAAGAGCCGAAGAGGGTGGAGAAGGGGAGGAAGGGACGGGGAAAGAGGTTCAAGAAGTCGGGGGTTGGTTAAGACCGAAGACGCCGAGGTCGGCCCCGGGATTAGGCCGGGAAGCATAACGACGCGGCCGAATGTCGTGAATATTAATGAGACAAAGGTAATTAGCGTTCTTCTTTTTCCTCCCTTAAAGTAACGGCTTGTTTGAGGGAGTTTGCGGCGACGGGCTACGTGATTGCTCGCCCCATCCCCCAGGGCTCTGGGGGAGAGCCGGACGTCAACGAGATACTCGCTGACGCCGGCGATTTTTTTACACCTCCCTCGATTCCCCGCCCTGGGACACCACCGGACGACCGCAACCCCCGACCGACGCCATCTTTCTTTCGCTTTCCCCCGGCTCTTCCTCCTATACACCTCGTCGGTGTATATTATGTTTTAGGATCGAAAGATGGAGGGATTCCACGGCATGGAGAACCTGGACTCGGAGGGTAGGTCAGGGTGACTGGCTATGAAGAGGACCTTGCCTCTCCGGGGATGAGGCGACGTTATCGTGGCTTCCGAATATCCGATGGTCTTTAATTTCTTTTCTTCATGCAGGACACTCACTTAAGGAATGCTTGATAGTCTTCGCAGATAACTTCACAGCCCGGCCATTTGCAGACCCCGTGGCCGTAGAGAGGGTGAGTCTTGTCGTTGCAGGACGCGTCCAGGGGCTTGTCGTCCAGCGAGGTGGTGCCGTTCATTTCGGAGCGCCGACTCGACACTATCGAATTCAGAAGGCCTGCCGATAGTCCAGGGAGTGAAGAGAGTCAAGAAAAGCATTTTCAGTGGCATCCCCTCCCACAGGGGGGGTGGGACCTAGACAACGTACCGTTCAGTCCGGTTCCAGATTTGGAGGACCCGGAGTTCTGGTGGCCCTCCCCGTCCGATGGCTCGCTTTTCCATCCTGGCAACCCTTCCCCCGGCTGCAGACCTGTAGGAAATGACAAATTCAGGTTCAATTGATTTTCAAAGGATGTAGGAAATGAAAAATTCACTATTGATTTTTCAAGGATGTTTCAAGCATATTTGCTGGTTTCTCTAGAATGTAAACAGGAAAAAAAAAAAAGAAAAATTCCGCCAAGTCCTCGGCCGATTATTCTTTCGCGAGAAATAAATCCCGGCTCGTTGTGGCCCGCGACTGCATAGGTAATGTAAGAATGCTAAACAAAGAGCCGTAACAATGCCTCGTTTACCGATGGCACCGAGGCCGCCTCGCGGCGTTTATTCTCCGGTTGTTTATTTAGAATCGATTCTCAGCGCGTGTTCCGAATCCTAAACACCTGACGCGTTTTGAAAATCGTCGCCGAGTCTCGAAGAGACGTTCGTCCCTCTTCGATTCTTCTCGACGGGGATGGAAATCGAGGATAAAGAGACGAAGAAGACCGTACCAGCGGAGTGATTGTGACCTTGCAGGCTGAGCCCCTGTTGGAGGACGTATTGTCGTTGCGTGATCTGCAGTTGCTGAATGAGTTGTTGCTGTTGTAGCGCCAGTTGCTGGAGAGGAGCAGAGGCCTTCTTCTTGTCGGCGGTTTGGAGTAAATGCGTCTGCTGGATCAGATTCAGCTGCAACTGTTCCTGGAGCTGCTGTATCGCCTGCTCCAGCTGCTTCCGGCCCAACTCGGCTAGCTGATGTTGATGCTGGAAAGAAGGTAAACGTCATCCCTGGACGATTCGCGGGAGAGGATTCGTCCATTTCTTTTTTTATTCCAGGAAATCTGCAGGAAAATCGCGACAAGAGGGCGATTGTTCGCAGCCGAGCAGACAACGTCTTCAGGGGTGGTATAATTGCCCACAGGGTGCTCCACCAACCCCGGGTCTCCCCCTCGACTTCTCGCACCCCCGGGGCATCTCGAGGCCAAACTTCTGGAGAGCTCCGTTTATCATATTATTATAAACAAGAACGCAATTAAAGGCCGAACGCAGATAACGTTAGATAGCGGCCTCGTCTTCATGGAGGAGGGGACCCCGAAGAGAGGGTGTAGAAGACGATGCCCGGAAATCCGTTCACCGTCCTCTGCTATCTAGACTGGACCGCGATTGGTGGGTATTAATAAGCGAAGGGAGGGAGGAAAAGAGGAGGAGGACAAGGACAAAATGGCGGGCAGTTAGGAGTTAAAAGAGTCGCAGGGCGCAGGTAATTCCGTTCTCCCCGTACACGTGATCGCAATAATCTCCCGGGGAGGCTATCTAAATATCTAAGGGTGATGGCCGGCAGGGGATGGTCGGGCTAAATAAATATTGGCCGCTCTCAGGAAAATATACACCAAGCCCCGACCCTGGGAGCGAAACCTCTAGCCCGGGGGTGCAGGACAGCCCGAAACTTGTCACGTCCTGGCCCGCTTAGGGGTGGTGCCTCCAAGATGGCGTGCATGCAAATGCCGGACACCACTGGGGTGGGCACAGGAAATAACCCCGAGGAGAGGTAGGTAGGGACTTCCTGTTATTTCTGCCCGAGCCACGTCTCTTTGCCCGAGCTCCCTTTTCGCTGGACCAAAAAACGGAAGCCTTTTCTAGGTTGGAGAACGCCGGGGTCGGCCGGGTGGGATAAGACGAGGAAGACGCTGCCAGAGGTCGGGGTTGTTATCCTTGCGATGCAGAAGGGAAGCCGCCTGTTTACCCAGGCGAGGACTCCCGGCCTCCTCTCCGAGGAACCCGAAATTCCGAGAGACGGATCCGTTACCCCGGGTCCATCAAAGGTCCACTTACGTTTTTCAAGGAGGAAAAGTATCCGAAGCGGTCCTGGTTGGAGGCGTGCTCCGACGCAGAGTCCTGAAAGCAGAGAATCTTAAAAAGGAACCTGAAGAGGGAGGATCAGAGAGGGCTGACGGGTGGAGGTCGGGGTAAGGGTGTACCTGGTGGTGCTGCTGCTGTTGTTGCTGCTGCAGGTAGAGCGTGTGCTGCTGCATGAAGGACTGCAGCTGGGTGGGACTGAGGATGTGCTGCTGCAGGAGCTGTTGCATCTGGTGGAGGCCGCTGGCCGGGCTGAGCATCATCTGCGAGGGATTCTGCGAGGCTGGACCGGGAGGCGGGCCTCCCGGTGGCGGACCCTGCGACGGATTCGGGGGCGATCCCCGCTGGGGGGCCTGGGGGCTCTGATGGGGACTCGGCTGGGGCCCTGGGGCCCCGGAGCTGGGCTGCTGCGACTGTTGCGTGAGGATCGGCTGCTTTTGCTGGGTCATGGGTGCTGCTGTCAGTGCGTGCCCAGCGGGACTGAGCTTCCCATTGCTCTGGTACTCGATGCTCAGCTCCTGCTGGTGCTGGTGCTGGTGTTGGAGCTGGTGCTGGTGCTCGCCCTCGGCCACGCCGCCTCGGGATGGCCTGTCCCTCTCTCTGCCCTCTCGTTCCCTCCCGGAGTCGCGGCCCTGTTGTTGCTGTTGCTTCAGGGCCGCGAAGAGCGAGCTCGCCTGAAAATCATACGTCAAGGTACTTCCAGAAATTCCAGATCTATTCACCGGTTATTCCACCGGGGAAAAATTAAATCGGCGAGGGATTTTCACTTTTTCTAATTGCAAATTTTCCTATTTGCGGATTTTTAACAGCGACAGTCCGAACGCCAAGAGGGTCCCGGAAGAAGTGCAAGGAAAGTCGTCGACCTGGAGAAGAAGTCGTCCAGGTTATGGATCGGATTATGGACCAGGAACTGGGATCGGTCGTGGATATCTCGCGGTGTAAACGGGGAATAGGGCACTGCGCGTCGTGGCAAAGTCTCCAACTTTTCTCTGTGTCTCCTCGAGCAATATTGATCTTGGCTAATGGCGCTCGCGGCCGCCATCTTGGCTGGCCGAAACGCGGCTAAAACTCCTTGTTGTCCGAAGACATCGGCTCGCCGACTGTTTACGCGACGGGATTTGTTTTATTAAGTTCCACCATCAACTGGATTGTCGAATGTATACGTATATTCGTATATACCGCGATATATACCACTGTATATACGTAATTTTATGTACACCCAGAAGCGAAGCTCCGCAGCGGTGCGAAATCCCTCTCATTGTCCCGGCTTCTTGAGGGACTTCCGACGAGTTTAGCAAAACTACGTTTGCCGTTGGCCAAACTCAAATTGCAGCTGGTTTTACCGAGTCGTTCCCTCGGGAAGATGCGACGTTCCCGGGGGAGTCCTTCTCTCGGAAACGAGCTCCGAAATCGTTTCGCCGTTTTCAAAATGGCCGACCGAGCGTAGACTTTACCTTCTCGTTTATAATATTTTGAGTGGAAGTTTCGCTTGTAAAAAATATATCCTTTTGCTTTTCAGAGGATTTCCTGCCAACATTCGTTTCTTCGACTTCGTATCGCTCCGGGAGAAGTCAAAGCTGCTCGGTTTTAAGCGATCTCTTCCAGGAGAGTCGTCCGTCTCACAAATTCGCCAGATCGGGCTCTATGCTAATTTTATTTGTGTACGATTACGTATGTTTATAACATGCAAAGAAATTCTCGGGGCGCGTTATCAGTGTTTAGTCAGGAGCGTCAGCAAGCGCCGCTCCTCGGCCGACTCTGCCGGAAGAGGAACGAAAAAGGAAACGGGAATAAAGGACGCGACCGATCGAGGAAACGAAAAGTGAAACCACGAGATATAACCACAACAGGGGAAAAAACCGATCCCCTTGTCTCATTTCAATACCAATGTTCTCCCGAATCGTGATTATCCAAACACGGTTCTATTTGTACCATCCCCTCGATCCCGAAGTGTCTCCAAAACATTCTCCGAAGCGAAATCAGGCCGAAAAATGACAAGTTTATATTAATTCATAAGAAAAAAGGTCTCAACATTTTGAAAAAGAAGAGAATATCCATGAGAGTTTAAGGCCTTTGAAGCCGGTCATGGTCCCATCCCGGCGAGTTCTCGAGCGAGATTCTTCAGGTGATTCTTCAGCTCTTCCTCGTCCGTTCAAAGGAGCCTCCGGAGTCCTTCAATCCACTTTAATCCCGACTTCGGGGTGAGTGAAAATTCGAACGTTTAATTCGTTAATTAGCAGGAGGTCCTGCCGAGGACGTCCCGGGTAGCGGCTCTCCTCCGGGGATTCCTTCGGGAGCGGCTGGTCCCGTGTGTACATTGGGGGGTTATTACGAGGTATACGGTGGATCCTGAAGAGGAAGACGAAGGCGAGGCTCGAAGGCATAAAAGAATGGGACCGGAGCTCAGCGTTGGAGGGCCATCGACCGCAGATAAGGAAGGATTCCCAAAGACTCCCTTAAGAAAAGGTTAAATAAAGGCCGGGGCTGTTGGCTGTTCAGATTTCCCTCAACCTTCAACCTTCGACCCAGCCCGCCGCGGCCTCTTCTTATTTCAATCTCGAAGTCTCTCCACGGGGTCCACCCCTCTCGCCGCGAGGCCGCGGCTTCATATCTTTTATATATTAGAATTCTCGCCCCTTCCGCCCCGAACTCCATTCCGCTGTTTACTGTTTGGATTTATTCCGCCCCCCGGTGGGCTTTGCCGCCCCCACCGGGGTGTAGTCAACCCTGTACGACCTCGGTTGCGGTATCGGGTTCTTCTTTCCGTGACATGACCTTCTTCAGGGAACCTCCGCGTCTTCCGTCCTCTTAGGAAAGCCGCAAGACCAAGACCGACTTATCTTTTATCCTCGTTACATCGAGCCACGCGTCCTATTCCTTCGCTCGAGGATATCCCACCCCTTTACGGAAAGGAATCCGCATTTACCGGCCGCCCACCCTCTGAGACTTCCGTCCCGCAATTTCCTCCACCGTTTCACCGGGTGTTATACATTTCCAGGACCTCGAAACCGAGTCCTCTCGCCAAGGTCCTCAACCCCGGCTATCCTGCCTCGAAGAACGCCCTCGATTCTTTACGGTCGCGGCTTCTGAGTCACGGGCGCGTTTTCTTTCTTACCGCCTTTACTCCTCCTGCTCGAATATTCCCACCGTGGCCAGGGCCGAATTTGTGCTCCCTGTCTCGCCCTGGCTCCGCTTTTATGGCGCCCCCCCCCCTCCCCTCCCGGGTGCACCGCCGAAATACTTATGCAAAGGCCGAATTTCGCATTCATATCTCAGAGAGGTTCCCCCCTCGCGACCCGCGCTTCTCGGGAATTTCGGGAAGAAATCTCTCGGAAGTCCTTTGGTCCTTGCAGTTCTCTGCAATCGACTCCTCGAGGGCTCGAGGGTGCAACGGAAAACAGGACTTGCGAAATATACCCCGCTCTCGATTTATAGATTTTTTTTTCCTGGGTCCCGAAGATCATTGCGTAGGTGATAAATAGGTGTCTTCTCACACCTATGGGAATTTCAAGACCGACTTCAGGGTGGGTGGAGGCGCTCCTCTCGTTTCGTATTCCCGTGGCCGAGGGCCAATCAGGCGCCTCCGCCTCCTGTTGACGTTTGTCATAATATTTTAATATTAAATCTCGTTACAGGCAGCCATGCGCTCGCATAATCAGAGGTTACTCTCCCGGCGACGTGTGAGAAGAGACACCGGGCGAAGGAGTATTTGCCACCCCCCCCCCGTCACGGGAGAAATGTGGAATACAAATTACCCCGAAAGAGGCGCCCCTTTCCACGATTCCCGGATACCGGGGGATGGATCCGGGAATAATTCAGAATTAGGGAAACTTCCCCGCGGGAGTCCCTTTTCTGCCGGGATGAGCACGCCGGTGACTTCGGCTAACCTGGTGGGCCCACCTCGAGGGTGCTGACCAGTTTGCGCTCCTTTTCTCGAAATACGATAAAAGGAGCACAGAGAACCACGCGGGAAAATAATAATCACCCCCCCGGGAAGTTATGAAAATTCAACCCTCATCCCCAAAGAGGCTCGCATCTGAAATTTGGCTAGTTCATCAGAGGGAACAATTTTCTCTGCATGCCCCCCCCCACAATAAAAAGGAAAGAGAAAAATCTGGGTATTAGAAATGATGTCCCTGGTTACGCTATCCCTTAATGTGTCGAGAAAAGATGTTAACTGAACCGGAGAAATATTATTTCTTGAATCAACCCTTCCTCGGGACCATCCGAAGAAATATTTCTTCGGCTCGATGGACTCCTTTTTGTGGGTTGCGACGACGAATTGCTTGTCGCGCATTCAGCGGACCAATTTTCTCTGTATGCCCCCAATGAAAAGGAAAGAGAAAAATCTGGGTATTAGAAATGATGTCCGTGGTTACGCTATGTCGAGAAAAGATGTTAACTGAACCGGAGAAATATTATTTCTTGAATCAACCCTTCCTCGGGACCATCCGAAGAAATATTTCTTCGGCCCGATGGATTCTTCTTTGTGACGAATTGCTCGTCGCGCATTCAAGTAGCGACTGCCTTAAGTCCTCGATTCGAGAAGGAATCTTTCTAAGGGCTCAATTTAATATTAGAGATGCTTATGTAGAGTAACTCGAGATCGAGCCGTGATCGGTAGAGATCGATGGCGATCGCGCCTCCTGGTCCATCCTCGGCCCATGGGAGGGTCCAGGGTATTGTCACAGGGCAGCCTCGGAGTCCTTCCAAAGGCACGTGCAATATTGAGAGGAATTAACGATTCCGCGGGCGTCCGTTTCATTCTACGTCGGATGCGTCGAGAGAGATAGAGGGAGAGAGAGAGAGCGAGAGAGGGGTGGTCGGGGTGGTCGAAAAACGGACGTGGTTCCCCTTCCCCGGGTACGAGAGACGCAGGGTGGCGGATATTCGGCAAGCGGCTAGGTTACCAACAGGCCCGAATGTCTCTGGGCTCTGTCTCTCCATCGTTAACGGACTGTGTACATTATAGATAGCCTCGTGATTGGTTCATCAGCCTCTCAAAAACTCCCCCCATAGATGCGACTCGTTCCGCAGGTTTATTTTAACCGGCCCGCGGAGAACGAGCGGCCCGATTGACAATGTATGGAATCTATTCTACGGGGCATCAATTAGTCCAGTTTACCGAGATTCCCCGATTTCCGCTAAACAAGCGAGCCGAATCCTCCTCCGTTCTCCCCGGGTCGACCCTTCGTCGGACCGATCAATCATTCAGACTTCGATCGTCTCCTTGACTCATCTTCTTCGGCGTCCGACGATTCTCGATCGCCGACCCCGACTGGCAGGAGGGAGGAGCCAAATTGACAGTTTCATTGACATCGCGAGCAATCGCCGTCCTCTAGATGGAGGATCTCGACCGGACCTCCACGAGACGACTCTACTCGTCAACTTCGGTTTCCTCGGAAATTCCCTGAAATTCTCGCTCCACCATCTCGCAGACGGTTTAAAAAAGGCATCCCCGACCCCGAGGATTTTTTAAAAAATAATTCGCCTATAAATGAACCTTCCAGGGGGGGGTGAAACGAGATGTGAAACGCTCGGTACCGGCAGAGGCCGGTTTAATATTCACGTTTCAGTAGGTATGCGGGGACACTTCGGGGCGGCAATATTTGTATTTAATAAATTTCCTCGTTCTCTAGTCTCCGGAGGGACTTCTTTCGCAAAATTAGGAGGG